CTCCGTCAAAATTCAGAGGAACTTTCATTGGCTTTATCTCACATCTTCACCAAAATCATGTGGAATCTTCTCCGCCGGAATCTTCTGGAACATCCGATGGCAGCATCTGAAATCCCCACCGAAATCGTGCGGAATTTCCGCAGGCAAGAGCTTGCGAAAACGCCGTCAAAATCCAAAGGAACTTTCGTTGGCTTCATCTAAAATCTTCACCGAAATCGTGTGGAGCCTCCTTTGTCGAAATCCACTGGAATATTAGCTGACAGCATCTTAAATCTCCACAAAAATCGTGTGAAACCTTCTCGCCGAAATCTACTGGAACTTCCGAAGGCAGCATCTGAAATCTCCACCGAAATCGTAAGGAACTCCCTCCAATGAGAGTTTGAGAAGACGCCGTTAAAATCCACTGGAACTTCCGATGGCAGCATCTAAAATCTTCACCGAAATCGTGTGGAATCTTCTCCGCCGAAATCTATTGGAACTTCCGATGGCACCATCTAAGAGCTTGCGAAAACGCCGTCAAAATCCAGAGGACTTTCGTTGGCTTCATCTAAAATCTTCACCGAAATCATGTGGAATCTTCTCCGCCAAAATCTACTGGAACTTCCGATGGCAGCATCTCAAATCTCCACAGAAATCTTACGGAACTACCTCCACTGAGAGTTTGAGAAAACGCCGTCGAAATCCACAGGAACTTTCATTGACAGCATCTGAAACCTCCTCCAAAATCATGAGGAACCTTCTCCGCTTAAAACTACTGGAACTCCCGATGGCAGCATCTCAAATCTCCACAGAAATCGTACGGAACTACCTCTACTGAGAGTTTAAGAAAACGCCGTCGAAATCCACCGGAAAATTCATTGACAGCATCTGAAATCTCAACCAAAATCATGAGGAACCTTATCCGCCGAAATCTACTAGAACTTCCGATGGCTTCATCTGAAATCTCCACAGAAATCGTGCGGAATTCTCTCCACCGAGAGCTTGAGAAAACGCCGTAGAAATCTACTGGAACATTCGTTGACAGCATCTGAAATCTCCACCAAAATCGTGTGGAACCTTCTCCGCCGAAATTTACTGGAACTTCCGATGGCAGCATCTAAAATTTTCACCGAAATCGTACGGAACTCCCTCCACTGAGAGTTTGAGGAAACTCCGTCAAAATTCAGAGGAACTTTCATTGGCTTTATCTCAAATCTTCACCGAAATCATGTGGAATCTTCTCCGCCGGAATCTTCTGGAACTTTCGATGGCAGCATCTGAAATCCCCACCGAAATCGTGTGGAATTTCCGCAGGCAAGAGCTTGCGAAAACGCCGTCAAAATTCGCAGGAACTTCCGATGACATCATCTAAAATCTTCACCGAAATCAAGTGGAGCCTCCTCTGTCGAAATTCACTGGAATATTAGCTGACAGCATCTGAAATCTCCACCAAAATCATGAGGAACCTTCTCCACCAAAATCTACTGAATCTTTCGATGGCAGCATCTAAAATCTCCACAGAAATCCTGCGCCGATAGCTTGAGAAAACGCCGTCAAAATCCGCAGGAACTTTCATTGGCTTCATCTAAAAACCTTCGCCGAAATGGTGTGGAGCCTCCTCTGTCGAAATCCACTTTAATATTAGTTGACAGCATCTGAAATCTCCGATGACAGCATCTAAAATCTCCACCGAAATCGTGCGGAGTCCCCGCAAGCGAGAGCTTGAGAAAACCGCCGTAAAAATCCAAAGGAACTTTCGTTGGCTTCGTCTAAAATCTTCACCGAAATCGAGTGGAGCCTCTTCCGTCGAAAACATTAGAACAATCCATCGAAATCCACTGGAACATCTCCTCCAAAATTGTGTGAAACCTCCTCCGACGAGACCGTCAGCAAACTCCGTCGAAATCCACTGGAATTTCGATTGACAGGATCAGAAATCTTCACCGAAATCTACTGGAACCGCCTTTAGCTAGGGTGTCAGAAAACTCCGCTGAAGCCACTGGAACTTTCGATGGCAGCATCCGGAATCGACTATAGAACCACGTAGAACTAGATAGAATGAGATGCAGCTCTCGCAGGACTTCTTCTGTCTTAGTGGACTCGCGGAGGAACTAGAAATTGTCTCCTGGGCCTGGCTTTGACCAGATCAGCAACCGATTATGGAACCAAAAGTCACGTGAGTGAGTGTAATATTTTCGTACAGAAACTTCAAATAAATTCGCCTCTTAGATTAACTTTCCCAGAAAATTTGTGCAGTATGTGTCTGGATTCCAGATTCCATCGGTTGATTCGATCGTGACACTCGAAAATCAAAATATCCTCAGTTATTTTCAAACAAAGAACACCCCGTCATTCCCCCAGGAGTCTTCGGGCAATCTCCATTCGTCTTCCCAAAACAAAACACCTCAGCGCTTCTTGTTCTTTCTTCCTTTTCCTTGCACACGCGGAACATACATACATAATTATCTGGCGCTAAAAACGCTGCTGTAAACGATCGTAGTAGCAGGGCCAGCTCGGGTGTAACGAGTAGCCATGATAGCCGAGTAGAAACAGACAGCCGGTCGGTGTTGCTTGCTGCTGCGTCGTCCATCTTCACATCCCATCCCAATCCCATCATCGCTTTTACTGTTGAGAGTTACTGTTCGAGAGTGGTTGGTCGGTCGGTGTGTTGGTGGTGAGGAGAGAGAAAATTGCACTTGCTGCACTTATTGTTGTATATTCCGATTTTAATTACACACCAAAGTAGGCGGTGGTGGTGTTGGTGGTGGTTGGTGGCCGGTAGGAACCGTAGTTTGAACGCGAAGCAACAGTAGGCGCCGACGAGGTGTTCCTAGAGACACCTGTTGACGATGTTCTTGGTCGTCATTATGCTGCACGCTGTTCTGATTGATTTGTTCCCGTTCCGGCGAGGGGCGGTGGGTGCGGGGGCGAGAAAGTTGTACCGTTTCGTTCTGCACAGCTGGTTCGGAATTTGGGGGAGAAAAAAGCAGCTAGACGGCAAGTCTGTTTCGGGGGATTTTTTTTTGTTTGCGTCCTGTGGTTGGTTCTCGCCGCCTCGCTGTGATGGATGAGGATCGAAGCTATGAAATTGGATCGTAGCAGGCAGCGAGTTGATGAATAATTCATACCTCACCTGTTTCGTCGGTGGCGTTATCGACGTCGTACCCTGCCTGCTGGATTTGGGTTGTTGTTGTTGTTGTTGTTGGACGAGCAGTAATGAGCGAGGAGGGAGAAAGATCGCCGAGGGGTCCACCGGAGAGCAAAGGATTCAACCAACCGGTGCTGGTGGTGTGAGTGAGGGAGTCAGTGAATGAATGAATGAATGGATTAAAGCGTGCGCGGAGCAGCGTAGCTAAAATATCATAAAGTTAAATGGAAAAAGATAACCTACATTTCCTCAGGCGAGGAAATAAGCCGTTAATTTTGTTTACATTAGCATCGAATAATGTGTTTTTATTTTCCGAAGTGGGTGAGGGAAGGAAATGGGTGTGCTTCTGCTTGGGATGCGAGCCTTCCTTAATAATAGTAGGAAGAGCTGATTATCGTTGATCATCGTTATACTTGAGAATCGAATGTAGAATGGGTTATATTTTTGTTCCGGAGTGAAGCTAGAGGCATTTTGCAAGCTTCCTATCAAGCCAGTCGGTGCGATGCCTATCATAAACAATTAATTGTAGAACCGTCCGAAGGTGACATTTGGATCCGGTATTATTCAATAATATCTTCCGCTCGATCCAAGCCGTTTTTTTCCTCCCTGTAATAATGCATTCCTTCCGCGTGCATCCTTGCGACCCCGAAGAGCCGCAATAAAACAAATAGCCGCAGTTGCGGGAGTAAAAAAATCTACATATGCGACCGATTGTCGATGTGATTCATCGATGATGATGATGGCCCGGAAAAAAATCCCACGGAATAAATAAACAAAAACCCAACCGGTTATCGCACTCTTGACTGCTCTCCCCCGCGCTCGCTCGCTCACCGCGCATACATATTACATAAAACTGTCAACCTTCAGCGAGGTCTTGTGCTGTGCGCCAAAAGAGCTGCGGTTAAGCCGTTGTAAACTTCCGCAACCCGTCGTCGTAGCCTAGCAGGCGACGACTCTATCTGGATGACGTATTGGCATGACGACGGCGACGCAAACCTATGCCCACTTGATGCGGCTAGGTTTCTTGCTCTCTCTGCGGCAGTTTGCACGAACGATCAGCGGACGGGCGAGAGACTGGCAGTCGTCGAGCGCACCCAAGGATCCGCGGTGAACTTGACCGCCAAATGTACGAAAAATTTCGTTTCTTCTTTATTTTGGTTTTGTTGTGTTTTTTTTTTCACCACACCGGACGGCGGCGCTCATACGGCGCGCCAAGCTCATTTAAATATTGAACCTCCCCGTACGTCTCGCTCGCATTTTTACGATAAAGCTTCATACTTCCACCTTCCCAAACGCGGTGGTGTGGACCGGGGAGACCTATATTTACAATCGGAACGTGTCTCTCTGCGATGGCAGACCTAGTTCTTTGCGGGTGGTTCCATTTTCGCGATGTCGAGGAGAAGGACGCCCATCGTCGATCGATCGGCGTACGGACGGACGATGTCTGAGTGCGATAAAAATTTACCCAATGCTGGAGAGCAACCAGCTAATGGACGGCCAGCATATCTTTGCGAGAAACATACATACTCACGCATCGCAGTAGGCTGTGGGACGCAGTAGGCTGGAAACGGAGGGAAAAAAAAAAGTTTAAAATAAAATTGCCCTTGAGACGCCGTCCTGTGTGCGGAATATTGCTGTTGTTATTATTCCGCTCTTGCGGCCATCGATGTCGGCGGGGTCGCCGCAATGCGCGAGATGTGATTATAAATCAATTTGATGCTAACAAGCGCGGGTGATGGAAAAAATGGCTTCTTGATATTGACCCACTAAAAATGTACGCGCCGCGGGAGATTGCTTCCTTATATCCCTGCTCTCTCGTCTGTCCAGTCCGTCTTGATGCTAATTTGCTCTTCTTTGTTCTTTTCCTTTCCAGCGCTTGCTTTGTGCGATTGGTCTTCCCTGCAGCAGAAGCGACGCAACCTTGCTCGCAAGCACTGCTCGCCAAGCGACGCCTCCAGCTACTATCAGAAGATGAGCGACGTCGGCGTTGCCGAGATGCACTGCTTCATGGACCAACTGACCGAGGTGGTCACTCCGGGCCAGGACTTCAAAGTGAAACCGCTCATCATGCAGGCCTGTGCCAACATGTTCAGCAAGTACATGTGTTCGGTTCGGTTCGAGTACGGGGACGCTGGTTTCCAGAAGATGGTCCACAGCTTCGACGAGATCTTCTACGAGATCAACCAAGGCTACGCCATCGACTTCATGCCCTGGTTGGCTCCGTTCTACTTCCGTCACATGAACAAACTGAGCAGCTGGTCCAACTACATCCGTGGTTTCATCCTGGAACGGATCGTAAACGAGCGCGAGCAGAGCCTCAGCGAAGACGAACCCGAACGGGACTTCACCGATGCCTTGCTGAAGAGCCTCCGCGAAGATCCCTCCGTCACCCGGGACACCATTATGTACATGCTGGAAGACTTCATCGGCGGTCACTCGGCCATCGGAAACCTGGTCATGCTTGCCCTCGGCTACATTGCCAAGAATCCGGAAATTGGCATCCAAATCCAGCAGGAAATTGATCACGTCACCGACAAAGGCCTACGGAACGTCACCCTCTACGACACCGAAAGCATGCCCTACACCGTGGCCACCATCTTCGAGGTGCTGCGATACTCATCGTCGCCCATCGTTCCCCACGTAGCCACGGAAAACACCTGCATCAGTGGCTACGGAGTTCCCACCGGCACTGTAGTCTTCATCAACAACTACGACCTCAACACCAGTGACAAGTACTGGCAGTCGCCGGAACGTTTCGACCCGAATCGATTCATCGAAAGCGCCACCCTAGCACAGATTCGATCGGACCTCGTCGGATCCCCAACCGCCAGTGAAGACCTCAGCAGCATAATCAAACACAACAACATCAACGCCACCAACGAAGACCAGAAGCAGATCCTGCGCGTGAAGAAGAACATCCCACATTTCCTGCCGTTCAGCATCGGCAAGCGAACCTGCATCGGTCAGAACCTGGTCCGGGGCTTCAGCTTCATCATGCTGGCCAACATTCTGCAGAAGTACAACGTCCACTCCAACTTGCCCGACGGCATCAAGATGAAACCCGCCTGCGTAGCGGTCCCACCGGACACCTATCCCCTGGCGTTCACGCAACGAACCCACTAAATCACCCCCTTCAACAACCCCCCGCCCCCAATGTAAATAGCCCCCTTTGACACCCTCATTTCCTTAAATTAAATTATTTTTCACACCCCAAACAACCCAACCCCCGGCGGCGATCGGAAATCATTATCCCTCTACCGGACGGAACCCAGTATGTAGTAGTATATAGCAGTAGGCCGGGGACATCCTTATTAGTTGCTAGGGAAACGCCGTCAACACATCTTATTCACCCTCCCCCCCCTCTCTTAAAAACACCGTAGTAGAACATAGGAAAAAAACAACAAATGTTATCTAGTTTGTAGAGAACGCGCTCACACACACACACACACACCCACGGACGAGACGCGTACCGCAAAACGTGATGGATAATGGATGAAAAGTTTCGTTTTTATAAAACATACATACAACAAAATATTATAATGATTTTTTTTCGCGTTTAGAACCGTAGACGAGATGAGATCAAGACTTTTTTTTTATAATAAAGGAGAGTAAAAGTACTTAAAACTACGTTCTGTAGGAGTTGTTTGCTCGGAAGGGGGATGCCGAAATGGTGACATTTTGGTGCACGGACTCGGATCTCCCTTCCGGTTCCAATTGGAGCAGGTTTGACTGTAGGTAGTTTTCGCTTAATGTCTGCATTTATATTTAGATAACAAAAAACAAATCCTGTTGAAGCGTCGATATTTTTTTTTTGTTTTGCATAAGAACTAAGACTGAATTTACTCTATTTTTGATCATTTTTTTTTGAGAGTGCGACGATGAGGTTATTCAATTCTATAAATTATATCGATGGAAAAAAATTAAACGCGTATGAAAATATGGCTCTTTGCGGAATGTTTGACAGCATTTCTTTTGCGTAAGCATTGTTTCGAAGTAAGAGTATAGTGAAATAGGCAAATGGAAGTATTTCATGTATTGTATATTAGAAATATTTGCATACTTAGAGCATCGGTGGTAATCGAATTAGATTCGAAATCTAATATTATTACTTTAGTAGGAAATTTCTAGACAACACAGTCGGATTTAAATAGGTACTATTGTAAAATAATAAAATATTAATGGAATATCGAAATTTTCCGGGCTTGTACAACTGCGATGACACTACCCTGGTTTGATTTTAATGGATGAGTGCTATTAGTTAGTGCGCTTGGTGGAATCCATGTCTGCACACGCATCGAGTAGAGGAGGTATCGAGGGAGGGAGAGAGCGTTGATTGCTAAATTGAAGAGACTTTAAGTTTCATCGAGTCACAGAATTTCAAATACCTTTTCCTTGACCACCTCTCTACCTGTTTATATATATATTTCACCCGTAACCTCGAGTAAGCCACGAGTATTCGGTCTCCTCTTGTTGTAGCTCTAGTTAAAAAATAAAAACATTGTAATCAGTAAATTGAATTTCGGCTCCGTAAAGCTTCCGCATTTGATTCTTTGCTAAATAAATGAATTGGTAGAAACAGAATATCAAGTGAGCGAGAGTTGTTTGTAGCAAAAACCAAATCAATTTTAGAATCGACCTTCTCCGATTTGCATGAAACTTTGCATAATTGTTTGTTATGTGAAATCAACGACAAAACTCCATATTCAGCCATTTTGAATATGGAGTTTTTTTTTTACAAAATGGCGTATTCGACATTTATCAATAAATCGTACCGTACGAAATAGCAATTTCTAATCGAAATGACGAATGAGACAAAGTTGTAGGGAAACGCATTGTCTACACAATAATTTCTTGCTCAAGTCAAGTAAAATATCTTGAACTAGTACACTCTAAATGAAGTGTCGACTAAATGGTCATAGTTTAAAATTACGTGTTTATTCAAAAGATTGCTTTTAAATTATTTATGTATTAAATAGGCCTTCTGAAAACATAAACTAAAAATTTCAAATTTGTTTCATATAGGGGAATAATTATTAGTGATTTCAATACTCCCCACAATCGAAACGTTTATCCGTTTGGCTCCACTTTTTGACAGTCCGTTTGGCTCCGCTGGATTTGTCTTGGCCAGTCTGTTACTAGAAATAATCAGAGGGAGATATAAGCGGAGGATACAAAGTACAATTCGGCAGCCGGGTTTTGTATGTAAATTATCTTGCAACCCTTCACATGACTTTTCTTTTCGATTTGTACGTGCCTTTCATTAACCAGAAAAAAAATCAATTGAACAATAGCTAATCACCTTAAAAAAAATACCGAATCACTTCGGAAAGTACTGAATCACTTCAGAAAAGTTTGGACTCACTTCGGAAGTGCTGAATCACTTCAGAAATATTTTCAATCACTTCGGAAACTACTGAATCACTTAGGAATGTATTGCATCACTTTAGAAATGTTCGGAATTACTTCTGAACGTACTGAATCGATTCAGAACAGTTTGGAATCACATCAGAAAGCATTGAATCATTGCGCAAAGTTGACTTTGCAAATAATTGAATCACATATGAATGCACTGAATCACTTCAGAAATGTTGGGAATCACTTCGGAAAATGCTGAATATTTTCAGGAATGGTCGGAATCACTTTGGAAAACTACACGATCACTTCGGAATGTACTGAATCATTTCAGAAAGCACTGAATCACTGCGTAAAGTATTGAATCACTTTAAGCTCGGAATCTCTTCGGATAATTTTGAATCACTTGAGAAAATTGGAAAGTACTGAATCATCCCAGAAAGATTGTAATCATTCCGCACTTCACTTGCATCAGTTAGGATTGCACTGAATCACTTCAGGGACGTCTGGAATCACTTCGGAAATACTGAATCGCTTCACAATGTTCATAATCACTTCGGAAAGCACTGAATCATTTCGGAAAGCACTGAATCACTTCAGAAAAATTCGGAATCCTTCCTGAAAGTACTGAATCACTTCCGAAATGTTTGGAATACTCCGAAAAGTACTAAAAAATTCCAAATATTTTGTAATCACTTCCGAAAGCTATGAATCACTTCAGAAAGAATTTAATCACTTTTGAACAGCTTGAAATCAATTCTGAAAGTAATGAATCACTTCAGAAAAGCTCTGAAATTCTTCGGATAGTATTGATAATCTTTCCAGAAAGTTTGTAATCGCTTCCGTAAAAACTAAATAATTCCGGAAAGAACTGAACAACGTCACAAAACTTCGGAAAGTACTGTATCAATTCTCTCAGATTTACAATCACTTCTTCAAGAGCTGAATCACTTTGTAATAACTTAATCACTTCAGAAAAGTTTGGATTCTATTCAGAAAATACTTAATCACTTCAGAAAAATCGAAATCACTTTGGGAAGCGCAGAATCATTTAAAAAATGTTCTTCTGGAAGTACTGACATACTTTAGAAAATGTCGGAATCAGTCTGAAAAGTACTGAATTACTGCAGAAAAACTTCAGAAAGTACTAAATCACTTTAGATAGTACAGACATTATTGAGCATGAGTAACCACTCGCGGTTGCTACTCCGTTATTACCAGACCACCTGACAGAGAAGCAACAAACGATGCGTTGGACAGGCATGCATCTGCAAAGTGAAAAAAAATACTGGTGATCTCATACTTCACGATAGGCAGCAACAGCGCTGGACGCTTCCAACTTACCTTTCTTACCAATCAGGCTAAGGCCTTGTTGTCCTCTGCTGTCCGAAGAAGTCGTCTCCACTCTACTCGATCCATGGCCACAGTTCGCCAGCCTCGTAGTCTGCGAAGGGTCCGCAGGTCACCTTCTACTTGGTCGATCCACCTTGCCCGCTGCGCGCCTCTTCTTCATGTTCCTGTTGGGTCGCTTTCTAGAACCATTTTCACTGGGTCGTCGTGCGGCATTCTTACGACGTGCCCAGCCCACCGTAGTCGCCCAATTTTTGCAATGTGGACGATGGATGGTTCTCGCAGCAGCTGGTGCAATTCGTGGTTCATTCGCCTCCTCCACGTTCCGTCATCCATCTGCACTCCACCGTAGATGGTACGCAACACCTTCTGTTCGAAAACACCAAGGGCGCGTTGGTCCTCCACGACCATAGTCCAGGTCTCGTGGCCGTAGAGGACTACCGGTCTAATCAGCGTCTTGTAGACAGTCAACTTCGTGCGGCGGCGAATTTTATTCGACCGGAGCGTCCTCCGGGGTCCAAAGTAGGCACGATTCCCTGCCATAATGCGTCTTTGAATTTCTCTGCTGGTATCATTTTCGGCGGTCACCAGTGAGCCCAAATACACGAACTCATCGTCTCCGTCAATCTGAACTCGGGGTGGGAGGCTAACACTGTCTTCCCTAGAACCTTTTCCTTTCATGTATTTTGTCTTTGATGCGTTGATGGCAAGTCCAATCCGTCTAGCTTCAACCTTCAGTCTGATGTACGTTTCCGCCATCATCTCAAAGTTCACCACCACCGTATTTTAATAGCTCACTTGGTAGTTGATCTACACCAGTTGCTTTGTTGTTCTTCAGCCGACCGATCTCCTCCTCAACTTCTTGAAGATCAGGGGCCGGTAGCCTGTCGTCTTCTGCGCGTGCTCCAAGGTCTGTTGCCGTGCCACCTTCGTTTTCTGCTGCTTCACCGTTGAGGTGCTCGTCATAGTACTGCTTCCACCTCTCAATCACCTCACACTCGTTTGTAAGAAGGTTACCGTCCAAGTCCTTGCACATATCGGCTTAGCCTTTAGCCTTTGCGCGAACTATTTAGCTTCTCGTAGAACTTCCGTGTGTCGTTTACGCGGTACAGATTTTCCATCGCCTCGCGATCTCGGTCTTCCTGGTGACGCTTCTTCCTTCGGAAAACCGAGTTTTGTCTGTTTCGCGCTTGTCTGTATCGCTCCACATTCAATCTCGTGCGGTGTTGCAGCATTCTCGCCCGTGCTGCATTCTTCTCCTCTACTAACAGTTTGCATTCGCCGTCAAACCAGTCATTTCTTCGGTCCGGGATTGCAGTACCTAGTGCCGCTGCAGCAGTACTACCTATGGCTGAACGGATGTCCCTCCAGCCATCTTCAAGAGAAGCTGCTCTTCCGTGGGTAGTGCAACTTTCAGCTGCTGTGCGTAGT